TCAAAACACAGCAGCAGCAACCTGCGGCTGCCCTGCCCAAAGGCTCATCTGCCCTGCAAAGCTCCCGCAGAGATCTGCGGGCTGAGGGGGGAGAAAGCAGCAGCTCAAGATATTTGCTGCCATAGCTGAATTAGTACCACCTTCGTATACGTTATTAGTTGTATACAGCTCTGCATGGATGTTTACAAGACGGCCTGATCAGATAAGATGGCAAAGTAAATAGTGTATTTTACAGCTTTTTATTTTTTTTAGCAGCTGCCTAAGAGACCTCAAAAGTCCAAATGCCCCCAAACCCAACATTCTGTTGGAAACCAGCATTTTCCAGTGTGTTTTGTTCTATTCTGCTTCTCCTCCAATTTCCAACATTCTGCTGGAAACGGTGATGAAGAACACATGTCTGTTGTAAACTGCACCCATGAGAAATCTTGGAACTGTTACATTCAGTTTTATTAGCCAAGGCATTAAGATAGTCTACCACAACTTGTATTATTAACTGTTCCATCAAATGCAACAACACAATATACTTTTATACTATTACACATGTAAAAAACATACTGGATTTCTTAATCTCACTGGGTGACTAACCTGTTGCGTTTACATTTTAATTAACAGTTACAGGATGTTTTTAGTGCTTCAATAAAATCAGGTGTTACCAAAATGCAAAATGCTATTGCACACCATATTTTCTGGAAAACACATGCTGAGGCAATGATAAGGCTGAAAAGCCTAACACTCAAAAGCCACAAAATTCCAAATTATTAGGCTTCTTTCACAATAGAAACTTATGCAAGTGCTGTGTCTTAACATATTTCACAGGCTGCTGCAATAATCTGGGCTACATGAGGGAAATTTAGTGTGACAAAGCTCTACGGACGCACTAATATCTCTGAGAATCAATTTATTTTCTACTGTTGCAAATACTAGGCAAATTTAGTTAAGCAACAGACAAAATTAGACAATAGTATAACCACCCCCTAAGCATTGATGAGCTGCATCTTTTGGGGGACTTTTGCATTAGTTCGGGGAGGGAGTGACATCACCAGAAATTTCCTACAGGCCTACCTATATTCAGGCAAGTATAAGTAAGATTATATTGTAGTGTAGAAATAAAAAATATTTCATATAAATCTGACAATTATTTTGACTGATGATTTGACCTCACAACTTTAATAAAGGTCAGAAATGATTTTGCAAGGGTTTCGCATCTTATTTCCCAAGTGACTCTATGGGAACAAAAAAAAAAGAAAGAAAAACACGGGCCTGTCAGAATATGCACCTTGCAAGCTTTGCACAGAAGAGGAAGACCAAAGGTTTAGGCAGCAGTTCAGAGCCACAGCTGAGATGTGGCTTTTAATTTCAGCTTAAATCATTTTAGAATCAAAAAACACCAGTGTCAGTAGAGTATTGGGACCATACTAAAACCAAGACAACCCAGCACAAGGTGTATGGGAAAGCAGAACACAAAGCTCTCTTTGTTCCCAGGAATTGAATAATTAATTCCTGAAAATACAGACAATATTTTTTCTCCCCTAAATGAGACACAAAAGGCTGACCGTGCCAGTGCATTTCATGGACTGCAAGCTGAGACCAATGGAGAGTTACGTGTACAACATCATATGGAGAGTCTTCCTTTTCATCACAGGACATACTCATCCTTGCACATACTCATCATGTGCAAGACTAACTCAAGCTAGCGTTTCCTAGTCCTCTCTGGTGGTCATTGGCTCACAGAAAATACATTGTGCAATCATGAATTGTGCTGTACTACAGCACACACAGGAGTCAACCTGTGGTTGGATGGGAAACTGAAATACTGGCATTTCCCAACTTGCAACTGCTTGGCTTTGCAGTCCAAACAGTATTACTTCTGTATGGCTTTTTAAAGACAAAGATTGTGTTTTGCTCTCTGTCACTATAACAAAAACTGTCCAATAATTAGCAGCGCTTGAAACTTGAACCTCCAGCTCTGTTTTCCTTTGAGCTACCTGGTAATGGAAGATTTACTGCAGAATGGATATTGAATATTCAGGAACTGCAGGCTCACATGGGGACCTGAAGGCAAGCAGTGAGCCAGCAAGCAATATTTCCAATCTGTACAGTACATGGTGCTTTTTTTCTTTTCTTTTTCCCTGACAAGTCCCATCTAGCATTCGTCCTATCAGTTGTCTTGGTGAAACCCTCAAAAATAAGACATCTTGAACATTTGGCTTTGTTCTGGTCATGAAGGAGACATTCCAAGAATTACTGAAATTTATTCTGGTCTAATTAATTTTGTAGCCATTCAAAGGCAAAACAGGTTTGCTTTTGTTTCTGATTTAAAGTAAAATGAGGACAGGACATTGCATTTGGAACACAACCAACGCAGATCCATGGTTATTGTTAACTAGCAGAGCTGGGCTGCTCTATGGAAAGGGTCCAACGTGTATCTGCTAAAAGGAACAGTCTGCTGCTAATACCGCATTCTGCTGTAAGAAGATGCCTCGGCATTATGGCCACTGAATTATAGTACCAAATAGGGAAACTGGTGCCATCACTCAATTCACCACCTCTCGGGCATGGTTGTGCCCCTGCAGTGGTTTTGAAAGAAAACCTGCAGGTGCTCAGCGTGCAGATACGGGTTTGGCTTGCTTGGCCTCTCTGCAAGTGGGCAAGGCACCCAAGATGCAGAGGGGAACAGGATTTAGCATACACAGACCTGGCACAACACAGGCCAAACAGGAGTCTCTCCCAGACTGCTGGTGTTTTCCAGTCTTCTCAGTTCAACAGTGAACACAGCAAATTGCAAATTCAGCAAATTCCAGGGATGCTGAGAAAACAAGCTGTTGGACGAAAAAAGGCTTGCAAACTACCAAAGAGTTATTCCTAGAAATTCCCTTTGACTATTTCCTCCTAAGACAATTGTTGCAGTTCAAATTTTTGCAGTTCTTATTTTTGGCCACTACAATAATCTTTTTTCAGTATTTTGTCTTCTTTATGGGTAGGTCTAAATAAAATGTAGAAGCCAAGAATGGTGCTAAGTCTCCCAAGGCAAGGAGGAATACAGGCACACGCTTGTGCAAAAGTTCAGTTGTGCTAACCACACACATGAAGTAATAGAAAGTTGCAAGGACACTGGTTTTGTGTTACATAATTAACTCCAGAATGCAATAATGAAGTTTGACCTAAAGCCAGAAGCTTTAACACATTAAGATACTTCATAAAAAAAAAAAAGATTTTGTAATATTTAAAAATCCAAAGAAGCCCATACCAATCATGCTTGTGTGGAAGTGTGTGATAAAGCTGCAAGTCCATAGTCTGAGGCCCCACATACTAACAAACCAAATGCTTATGTGTAAGGAGGCGAGTGTCGGACTCCACACACCATGTTTCAAACAGTCTGCAGTCTCAAAAAAGAGAATGAATTTTGTTTCATAAACTGAGGAACCTTGGTACTGAAACTTTCATTCACTTGCTCATCTCCCCCAGAGAATGAGGAGCTATGCATTTGCTTTTACTCAGGAAAGCTATATGCTGGAAATCAAGCATACAAGTATACTGATAAAAAATAAGCTATTGCTGACAGACTTTTGAAATGTAACAGAAGGCAATGTAATGTAAGCACTATACATATATATATATGTATATATATACACACACACATATATATCTATATATATAGCTCTACACTCTACATCTGTGCTAGTCTCTCCAACTGGGTAGCCTGAGACCACGGAGGCAACAAGGGAAGTTTGCATGCACAGAAGCCTGCAGCTCTGCTTCGGTTCCTAACACTTCTGGGAACTTCAAGTCTTCCCACACTTTTCACAAGAACAAGGAGATAAAACAACAATTTGTATAGTCGGTTAACATACAAAAAAAAGGGCAAAATATGAAAACGCAGTTTCAGAAAAGTTCGGCCTTGCCCTATATCCAACAGCTGATAGCACTGAGGTGGTGAGGGAAACACCATGCAGCTCACAAGATATATGCAGCACCCTGAGAACCCAGCAGAGCAGAAGTCTGCAAGAGATTTGGGGAGCTACCAGGCACATAGAACCATATGCTACAGGCAACGTTGGAGGAGTGTGAAAATAAAGGGCTGGAGCAGGAATTTTTTTGTGCAAGGAGTCTTATGAAAATGAAACCATTTAACATTCGAAGCTACAGCGGGCCAGCCAGAACACACCTGTATTCTGAAGCGTTAAGAGTCCATAGGGAATAATACCGGATTAAGATCAGCAGAATTCCTGTCCTGCCAGGGAGCTTCCCCACTAAGGCAAATTCTTGGCAAAGGCTTTCAACTGAAAGCTCCTGGAGACATTTTCATTTATGTTTGTGTGTTCCCTACCTCAAAGGTGACCTGGGCAGTGACCTACTCACTATCAGTAAGCATCAAGAAAACTGACATCAGCAAGTGAGTTCTCTTCCTCCATTCAGATATGCCACCCGCATTCACTTTTATAATAATTTTAGCAATTTTCAAATATGTGACAATAACAGCAAAAGGTTTGGACTTTCCTGTTCTCATGAGTGCTCACCTAAAAAAGGGCTTAGCATGTTATTTTTAGAAGCTAATGCTCATGTTGTTTCAGCAAAAAGCTCAGTGTTAGCTTTAGACACATGTCTTCTTTTATGCCAGACAGGCCAGCTCCTAGTATTCACAAAACAACTGTGGTTCACTGAACATGTTTCCAGGATTCATTTTGACTTTGCAAGACCAATTTTGCACTGATCGGTGAAAGAAATCATTGAAAAGATTACCTTATGAAAACACACAAATTTAGCCAATCTTTAACAAAAAGAACAAATTGTGGAGCTTTCATCAGACTCAGCACTATTCAAATACGGCCTGTCAGCACTTGGCATATACGAACATCAGAGATGGAACAAAACTACAGGAAATCCTTGGGCTTACTCACATACCCTAAGCACCACAGACAAGTCTGGCTTTCTTTGTATGCTTCTTCTAGCTCTAGTTTTCCCAGGCACCCATTTCCCACCATACTAAAACAGCACCTTACCTGTTATTTTCTGCAACAAGGGAGAAGGTTCTGGCTCATCACAGATTGCCTTGACTAGAGCTTTTTTCACTTCCTCTTCAGCGTCATCCAGCTCTTTTCCACCTTTCATTTCTCCAACCACAGAATACATGTATACCAGCAAAACAAGGAAGTCCTCGCAGGTGTAGTCATCTTGTGTCCGCTCACTGTGACACTTGATCATTGGCAATAGCTGTTTCAAGACACTGGGCATTTCTGACTCTCCAATAGTCTGAAAAAAAAAAACAGAGGAAGAGTGTGTCAGATGCACCCTGCAGTGCTTAGCAGCACCTGCTTGCATCCTGAAGAGTTACCATTCCTGCAATAGAAATAATCAAATTACCAGATCAAATCACCTCTATCAAATTACCTCTTTTGGCTAGAAGGAGAGACCAGAATAGCTAAGATTTTTTGGTTTGGAGAGGTAAAGGTGGAGAGGTGACAGGACAGAAGTGGGGAATAAGCTGTGGATCTATTGTTCAACAAATATTGCACTAAAAAAATAACAAAGGACCAAATCAACTTGTTCAAAAAGAGTTAAGACAAATTCATGGATGATAGGTCTATAAATGAACATTAGAAGGTCTAATCAGTGATAAGTCTCTGAGCATCTCTAGCTCATTAGTTCCCTATTCAATATATACATTTTCCTCATTTGTCAGCACAAATGGTCCCCTGACCTACTTGCTGCTCAAAAAGCAAATTCATTAGTTTCCTAAAGCCTTTTTCCTAGGCACTCATAAGAATGTATTTTAGCACTTGATAAACCTTAGTGATTAGTCTTTCTCCATGTAACAGTGAGAAGAACCAAAGCATCAGTCTTTTTTGTATGGGCAAAAGGGTACAAAGCACAAGGTCTAAAGCTGCCTTGCAGTTCTGGGCCTGCAGCTCGGTCCTGCCTTGGGCCCGGTTTCGTCCTCGAGCAGGCAGCTCAAAGCGCAGCTCCCAGCGGCTCCCGTTGCGATCGCGGGCTCGCCGCACATCTGCAAACCTGACCCTGTGGCTTCAGGTCAGAAACACAGAAAATTAGAACCAGAGGGAGCTACGTGTGAAATAGCAAGCTGAAGCGACCGGCCTGGTTTCCCGGGGACCCCTGCGACGGGCGCGAGGACAGGGCGCGTTTCTGCGGGGCGGCAGCGGCTGCCTCACACACGCTGACCCTCGGCAGCCCCTGCCTCCCTCTCAGCACACGCCCCAGCCTCTCCAGTGATGCAGCAGGGGCTTTTTCTCACCCAAAAAAACCTCCTTTGCTGCACAGGACCGATTCATTCCCACAGAAGGGCCATGCTGTGGGGTGAACAAGGTCGCATGGAGGGAGAAGAGGTATGTGACCCGCGACTAAAAGATGATCATGTTGTATATATGAGGAAGGGAGGCTGGTGGAGGAGAAGAGTGAGAAAACAGCATATGCTGACACTGCCTCGCTCCTGAGCTCCTGAAAGTGTAATTGCTTCTTCCACAGCCTGTGAGAGGAGGAAGGAGCTTTTCCATGGCTGGAGAAAGCACACTTGAGAGAGAAACTCCATTAAGCGACACACGGGCACCCACATCACAGAACACCAAACGGGCTGAGATCCACCACTCAAGCCAGTGCTACTTAAGCCAGCAGCATAACTAATAACACCAGTGGATCCTCCCCGCTGTGCACACACACCTATATACAAGATTTAAAAACAGATTTGCTTTCTGCTGCATGTTTAGTTTGGAGCTTATCAGGGGGCCGGGATGAGGCTCACCCATGGGAGAACCTTCCTCCACTGGCAGTCGCGAGCTGTTGGGTAGACCCAAGGGGTCCTCTGCAACACACCCCTCAGGACCCCATGCTTTCTCCTGAGATCACCACATGACCCCTCCTGAAAACACAGGCATCTGAGCACAGAATAAAGCAAAACCCTGGACATCCTGTAATCCAAAGAGCCAAGGCTGCAAACGTTTGCTCTTGCTCCTACTACAGCAACTTCAAACAGAGTACTCATGGTAACAAGTTCTGTGGCCAGTAGCACATCCTTACAATAGAGGCCAGATAATAACAGCAAAGGAAAATAAATACAAAATAAACAGGAACAGCTTTGTACAACAACAAAATTACATCATTAGGTTTATGGCTGCTTTAAACGGCGTTAATTAAGTTCTGCCTTCTTTTGGCAACTGAAATCTAGACAGGGATTTCAGAGTCTAACTATGAGCGCATGGAAACTCAAAAAATTTGTCTCCTAGTGTACCCCTGAGATACATCAAGCCTTCCTGAGTTAGGCTGTATTTTGTTTCAGTCGCTCTTTAACAACTGTGGATACTCTAACAGGCATCTTATAAATTGCAATTTTAATTCATATACAGATCCCTTACAGATCTCAATCATAAAGCAAACATGAACTACTGAAGCTCTGAGAAAACTTTTTCTAAAGCAGTGCTAGAAAACACTTGTGCTGACTTCAGGCCTCCTCCTGTTCCTGACAGGGACGCTGCCGACCCATCTTTCAAGCAACTTTAGTGTGGTCAGACATTATGTTTTTCATTTGAACACATACCTTGGAGAGGAATTTTCTAACGACTCATATGCTAAATTTAACAGTAGGTGCAACTTAAAGTTTCAAACAGTAAATTATAAAACTACGGTAGTCAAAAACATTTGAAAGCCTGAAAGGAACATTTAAAAATCTGGGAGGACTTGCCAGCACACGTGTGGTTGTGCAGGGAACGTTAAATTAGTTGTGCAGCAAGTCCGGTCTCTGTGCTGCCTGGAAAGCAAATCCAGCACATTTGGGGTTGGTCTGGCACATGCTGGCAGCTGGACCACCCTCATGACATTGCTGCTGTTTCCTAAATTTCAAGTGAGTCCTGCCTCAGTTCAGTGTTTCCTATTTTCTTTCTGAAAAGTGATATGTTTAGACACATAAATCCTCATTTGCATGCTAGTATGATAAATTTCAGATCATCCTGATCCTAAAATGGAAGATGATGAAATTACAGGAATTTAGATGCATGCAGTTACCTGGAGGAGGCCACTTGCAACAAGCCTAGTAAATGTAAACAAAAGAAAAGTACATATTAAAAATCGAAGGACTGGAGATTCACTTGTGCATTGAGTTATTCTGTAATACATTATGCACTTCAGTGTATATCCTATATTAATCTGAATTCACTTCCAAGTTCAGGAAACCCTGTTTCACCTATCACTGTGCACCATTTTGTGGCACATCATCTATTCCAACCCGCCAAGCATGCTGTACTCCCCCATCTCTAAGTATCATACTGCATGTTCCTGTGACATGAGACATGATTTCTTGGAAAGGATATGACTTGCTTTCTTACGTGCACAAATTCATTCCAAATTCATGCAGTACTGAGAAGACATATGCTCATACAAATAGGACATCAACAACTCCTGCCTGAGGACTTAAGTCTTGAAATACGTGTGCGTAGCACCCCAGGGAAGCTTTCAAACCTATAATAGTAAAAAATCTGGGTCTAAACTTTCAGGATGATTTACTGAAGGAAGGGCAGAAACACAAAAACTTAAAGCAACAATTGCCACCTCTTATCTTCAAAGCAAAATTGAAAGAAAAATATTGAAGAGCTATAATGAACCGTTAATTTTAAAATGCACACAGGGTCTTTTTGGGGTATGAACTTGGTTGGAATGTTTTTTTCTTATCTCTGGGGAAACGGCGCTACAGAGGATTTCAAACAGGACTGCCAAGAGGCTGTTTAAGAGGCTGTTCCGTACAAACAGGCCACTTGGACGGGCGCGCGCATGAAAAACGGGACTCGCAAGGTCGCCGCGGAGCCCAGCTCTGCAGGGAGCTGGGAAAGCCGCCTCGGACAGAGCCCGCTAGCGGACTGCCATTATCGGGCCACCTCCGATGATTTAGGGGCTCCCTCCACCGCGCAGCAATCCATCAATTACCCGGATTGAACAACCCTAAAACACGAGTTTTAAAAATGTAACTACCCATGACCCAAATTTCCTGCTGGTTATGTTGGCCTCAGGATAGCCCCATTTGTCTATCATCAAGGGAGCCAATAAAAATAATAAAAACAGGTCAATTTGGAGCTTTCTAAAGGCTGCATAAAAACATTAACACTGCTCAAGTCAGAGCCAACTAAGGACCAAACTCTACGCCTTCTGCTCAGTTGCATTGTTTAGAGGTTTTAATGCTATAATCATATATTCTTCGGAATCCGGAGAGAGTTTGTGATAGATTCTTGTTGTTTCCATCTTTTTCCTCCACCCTCTTTACTTATTTATTTTTAAAACCTAAGCTGTGCAATAATTTACTATCCCTAAGGGTAAAAGAACTGACGTCAATTTGCTGAGTTTTGCAAAAGGCCTGTGTTTTGGCAGATGGCAGGAGAGTAAAGTACAAAAATAATTTTGCAGTTTCTAAACAGCAAGCATGATACTGTGCTTCAAAAGTCACATTTAAAATCTAACTTAAAGGATCTATAGGAATGAAGGGGATGTGTAATAAACTGTAAAAAAATAGGTTTTGTATTTCTGTGTTTTTTTAACTCAAGCAATTACAGGCTTATTTACTATTCAAAGTAATGCAATACCTCTCGTTACATGTCTTTTACACAATAGAAAATGGAGTGCTCTGGGCAGGAAGAGAAGAGGAGGGTCAGAGTTGACTTGAATTAACACGTGTCCCTGACAAAACAGAGAAGAGAACTAAGGCACTCTAATCCTCTAACTTCCAACCTACTGTCCTCAACACATCATTAAAAATATTAAAAAAAAATCAACTTCAAGCAAGTGGAATTTATTTTCTTTTAGATTCCAGGAAGAAGGAGGAGATAACCTTAAAAGACTATTTCATTATGTAAATAGTCTAGTGGCTTTTGCTTTTAGGAGAAAAACATTTTAAATTCCTTTAGAGGTTGCATGAGTTAAGAGAATTTTTTGGAACATGAATCACAGAGTTTTACAACAGCAAGAAGTTCACTGGAGAAAAACAAAACAAAACAAGAAAAACAACCCCCAAACCCAGGTGTAGTT